AGGAGGAGGGGGAGGATGAGGTGGAGGAGGAGGAGGAGGCGGAGGAGGAGGAGGAGGATGAGGAGGGGGAGGAGGAGGAGGAGGAGGAGCAGAGGGAGAATCGAGGAGGAGGAGGAGGAGGACCACCGAGGAAGACCAACGATGAGGAGGAGGACGAGGACTCACCCAGTGCTCGCACACCACTTTACGCGGAGGCGTGCGCGCGAGAGAGGAGGATCAGTGCTTCTACAGTGTAACTGTGGGGGGTGAGTGTGGCCAGGACGAAGGAGGACGACGAGGGACACACGACGAATGTCAGGTGGACGGATGAGGAGGAGGAGGAGGAGGAGAAGGAGGAGAAGCAGGGTGAGAGGATGCGGATGAAGCCGCGACCGCCCGAGAAGTCGAGTCGCGTCGAAGGCCAAGTGCACCGTGAACATGGCTACGATTGTCTACAGTACATCCTTCCCATTTGCATTCCCATATCTCTGCACATCATACGTCTGCGTTCTTCTCTCGTACGCATCGGCCTCCACGGATGATGAGGAGGACGCAGGACGGAGGAGGGGATGAAATGTGATGATGATGGTGATGATGGCGATGCTGCTGATGATGATGCTGATGCTGATGCTGATGATGCTGATGATGCTGATGATGCTGCTGATGATAATCAGGCTGATCATACTGATGTTGCTGCTGCTGATGATGATGATGATGCTCCTGCGCCTGATGATGCTGCTGATGCTGATGATGATGATGATGATGATGATGCTGATGCTGATTCTGATGATGATGATGCGGATGATGATGCTGATGAAGATGATGTTGATGCTGATGCTGATTATGCTGATGCTGATGTTGATGCTGATGATCATGATGATGCGGATGCTGATGTTGGTGCTGCTGATGATGCTGATGGTGCTGCTGATGATGAGTAGGCTGATGCTACTGATGATGCTGATGCTGATGCTGCTGCTGCTCCTGCTGATGCTGCTGATGCTGATGATGACGATGATTCTGCTCATGAGGATGCCGATGCTGATGATGCGGATGATGATGATGCTGATGATGATGCTGATGCTGATGTTGATGCTGATGCTGATGCTGACGATGATGATGCCGATGATGATGCTGATGATGATGCTGACGATGCTGCTGATGCGGATGGTGATGATGACGATGCTGATGCTGACGATGATGATGCTGCTGCTGATGATGCTGATTCTGATGCTGATGGTGATGATGATGCTCATGATGCTGCTGATGCTGCTGATGATGCTGCTGATGCTGCTGATGATGCTGATGACGATGACGATTCTGACTATGATGATGGAGATGGTGATGCTGATGACGGTGAGGAGTATGCCGCTGATGATGATGATGATGCTGATGCTGATTCTGCTGATGTTGCAATGGAAGTTGCGGAGGGAGAGGGCGAGGGCGAGGGCGAGGACGAGGACGAGGACGAGGACATGGACGAGGGAGGGAGGGATGATGATGATGATGCTGATGATGATGATGATGATGATGATGATGATGGTGGTGGTGGTGGTGGTGGTGTTGCTGCTGATGCTGATGATGATGCTGATGATGATAATGACGACGAGACGGAGAAGGAGGAGGAGAAGGAGGATGAGGAAGAGGAGGAATGAATGCAACGATGATCATGATGAGACATCTACTGATGAACGCGATGGTGCCGTGTATGACCATGGTTGTGGTGATGGTGGTGAAGTCACGATGGTATATATATATATATAGATATATGACGATTCAGCTGGTTATAATGGCCATGCTGTTGGTTATTACGACGATGACGAACCAGACGTCTGTTGTATCGGCCAGGATTGCGATGCCGACCGTTCGTATGATAGCGCTGTAGTGGGTGATGACAGTGGCGATGATGAGGATGACGGAGGGGAAGGAAGAGGGGGGACGGAGGAGAAGGGCGGAGGAGGAGGAGGAGGAGGAGGAGGAGAAGGAGGAGGAGGAGGAGGAGGAGGAGGAGGAGGAGGAGGGGGGGACAGAAGAAGGTGGGCGGAGGGCGGGAGGCCTTCATTTACCTCTCTCCTGACATCCTTCCTGCTCCCCCACGCCTCCCCCTCCCCCCCTCCCCTCCATCTGCGTGTGTGTCTTCGGATCGCCCGCGTGGCTCCTCGCCCTGGCCGCGTGCTTTCGACGATCGTGATTGTGTGTGTGTGTGTTTGTGTGTGTGTGTGTGTTTTTGTTTTGTGTGTGTGTGTGTGTGTGTGCGTGCGTGCGTGCGTGCGTGCGTACGTGCGTGCGTGCGTGCGTGTGTGTGCGCGTGTGTGTGTGTGTGTGTGTGTGTGTGTGTGAGTGTGTGCGTGTGTGCGCGTGTATGTGTGCGTGCGTGCGCGCGATGTTATACGCCGCGCCGCCGCGCGCGTGGCCGCGACGTTGAAGAATTTTTTGTTTGTTTTGTGTGTGTGTGTGTATGCGCGTGCCGCACCTGCACCCTCGGGAGCGTTGCCGCTGCCGATACCTTATGGGCGGACCCAGTTTCTCCACGCTGCGCGAGCTGGCCCGGCCCGCGCGCGTTCGCTCACGTTCGCTTGACTGGACCTGCGGAGAGCCGCCGCGCGCGTGGCCGCGACGACACACTAATAATAGTACTAGTAATAATACTAGCAATAAGACGCATACATATATATATATATATATATCTATCTATGTATATATCTATATATATACATATGTATCTATGCGTGTGTGTGTGTTTCCGTCTCTCCCTCTCTCTTTCATTGCCTCGTTGCACGTTCTCTCTCTCTCTCTCTTTTGTTCTCTCTCTCTCTGTCTCTTTCTCTCTCTCTCTTTCTCTCCATCTATATCCCCTTTCTCTCTCTATTTGTCTCTTTCTCTCTTTCTCTCGCCGCCCTCGCTCTCTCTTCCCCTCTCCCTCTTCCCCCTTCTGCAGTGACGCAATATGAATACCACTCTCCTCCCTCCCCCGCATCTGTGCGGAGAGTTGGTTTCTTATGCATTTGTTTTGCGTTGGCAAGCTTTTTTTTGTGTTTCTGAGTTCGATCCATCCGCGTCCTGACATGAACCGCACGGAATGTGCGCGAAATTGCTTTCCGTAAAGTTTTTCTTTTGCAATTCGATTGTTTTCAGTTTTTCAAAATTGGTGTCCTCGCTGCAGTGCGGGCCTCATTTTCGGATCGGCGCTGTGCTCTCGTTGTTCAGAGTAGCGCTCCCGCCCCAGCGTGGGCCACTTTTGTGGATTTCACAGGTCTCGCATGCTTCGCAAGCACCACATGTCCCACGGGTCCCAGGGACCCACAATTGTCACAGGTCGCCCCACAGGTCTCACAGGTCACGCTGGTCGGACTGGTTCCACAAGTCTCACAAGTCCTCCCATAGGTCCGACAGGACCCACAATTCTCGCAGGTCGCCTCACGGGCCCCACAGGTCTGACAGGTTCCACAAATTCCACAAGACCCACAGGTGTCGCATCTCTCGCATGCCCCACAGATCCAACGCGTCCGACAGGTCTCGCATATCCCGCAGATTTTTGCAGGTCCCGCCGGTCCCGCCGGTGCCACGGGTCTAACAAGTCTCGCAGGTCCCAGAGGTCCCACAGGTTCCATAGGTCCCACAGGTCCCACATGTGTCGCGGGTCTCACAGATGCCACAGGCCACAAAGGACCCCCAGGTCGCACAGGTCCCACAAGTTCCCTTTGCCGACGGTGCATAACACCATGTGGTCTTCTGTGGAGCTCCAGGTCGGCTATGACACGCGTCCGTGGATAGAGACAAGTCGGCGCACTGGGAAGGAACGAGGGGGAGGGATCGGATGTCAGATAGGGCGCGAGCGCGCCTCGCTCGATTTCTTCCTCGCTGCCTCCCCTCCCCTCCCTCCCTCCTTCCTCCCTGTCCTCCTCCTTCCCCTGCTTCCTCCAAAATGCGTGGCCGTGTGGCCGAGCGAAGCCAGACGCCCCGAGCGGCTGACGTGGCTCGCCCCCCTCCGTCCCCCAAGCGATTCGCCAGGTGCGACCGTCCCTCTTTGGCCGTCTCGGCGCCAGACTTCAGAGGAGCAGAACCTGCCGAAGCCGATGCCCATCCCTCGTCCTCACCTCTTCGGGCCTCCTGGGGACCCCCCGCCGCCACGGCCGGATCCGCCTCGCACCCCTTGCCAGGACGCGCCCGGGGAGAACCTCTGAGGAGTAGCCGTATGGGCACCGCTCTGTTCCCCGCGAGCCATTCTGGCCCAGGCACGCGCTTACACCTACTACTTCGCTTACGCCACTAGCTTTGCGAGACCCTCGCTGCGCCGTGTGGCCCCCGCCGCTCCAGCCTCTGCCCCCCCTCTCCACCCTCCCGCCCCCAGCTGTCGGGCGACGAGGTCTACACGGGTCCTCCGCTGCCCCTGCCCAGGCCCATCCTGGGCCCAGGAGCGGTGTATATGGTAGGTTCGCGTCGTGTCGACCGGCGGCGACCCCGCCGCCGGCGTCCAACGCTGAACGCCGCTGCCGACCCAGAAGCGGTCGATGCTGAACGATCGGACGTTCCGGAAACGGCCGATCGGTCAAGATTGAATGATCCCCGCGGTGACAGGAACCAACGCCGCGGTCCTCATGACACGAACCTGCGGTACGCACGCGCCTCCCTGGCCACGCAAAGGGGGGGCGTACACATTGGGACGGGGTCAGGACGAGGATGAATCCCTTCCAGAGCATTCCAGATCGCTCTCAGAGCGTTCTGGGGCGCTTTGAGTGGGCCGCGGCGCCCGAGACATCCTCCAGATCCGCTGGATCTCAGAGACTCTCGATTCATCCCTGCCCGATCTTGTCCTCGTCCTGGCTTCGTCTTCAGAGGGGGGGGTGGGCACACCGCTCCTGGGCCCCGGGTGGACCTGGCCTGAAGTCAAGTCGGGCTTGTCCTTCTACAGGAGGAATACTCAAAAACAGTAAGAAACAAAGAGTCTGGTGACGATTTCTCGTGCTCTTTGGACTATTTCTGTTTTTTTTGGGGGGGCTATTGTTCCCCACATGCTTCGTGGGGTTCTGGTTTTCTTCCCACCCGCGCCGCACCCGCGTCTCACCCACACCCGCCCTCCTCCTCCCCTCCTCCTCCTCCTCCTCCCCCTCTTCCTCACGCACACAGCACTGCGCAGCGCAGCGCAGCGCAGCGCAGCACAGCACAGCACAGCACAGCACAGCACATCACAGCGCAGCGCACACAGCACAGCACAGCACAGCACAGCACAGCACAGCACAGCACAGCACACACACACACACACACACGGCTTGGCACGTGCGGCACATTCTCGACGCCATAGGGGTCGTCCACGGCACAGCAGGCGTGGCAGTTTTGCACAGCACACCTGCACAGCACAGCACAGCATAGCACAGTACAGCACACCGCAGCACAGCACGGCACGGCACAGCACAGCACATCGCAGCACAGCTCAGCACAGCATAGCACACAGGGCAGGCGCGCAGGGCACGGCACGGCAGAGCGTGGCAGGGGTGGCACTTTCTCGACACCACAGGGGGTGCGCAGGGGGTGGTCCCTGAGCTCGGCCGCTATGCACGACGGTTGTCCAGGCACAGCAGGCGTGGCACTTCTCGACACCAGAGGGGGTGCGCAGGGGGTGGTCCCTGAGCTCGGCCGCTATGCACGACGGTCGTCCAGGCACAGCAGGCGTGGCACTTTCTCGACACCATGGGGGTGCGCAGGGGGTGGTCCCTGAGCGCGGCCGCTATGCACGACGGTCGTCCCAGGCACAGCAGGCGTGGCAATTTCTCGACACCAGAGGGGATGCGCAGGGGGTGTCCCTGCTCGGCCGCTATGCACACGGTCGCCCAGGCACAGCAGGCGTGGCACTTTCTCGACACCATAGGGGGTGCGCAGGGGGGTCCCTGAGCTTGGGCCGCTATGCACGACTGTCGTCCCAGGCACAGCAGGCGTGGCAATTTCTCGACACCAGAAGGGTGCGCAGGGTGTGTTGGTCCCTGAGCTCGCCGCTATGCACGACGGTCGTCCAGGCACAGCAGGCGTGGCACTTTCTCGACACCATAGGGGGTGCGCAGGGGGTGGTCCCTGAGCTCGCCGCTATGCACGACTTCGTCCAGGCATAGCAGGCGTGGCACTTTCTCGACACCACAGGGGGTGCGCAGGGGGTGGTCCCTGAGCGCGGCCGCTATGCACGACGGTCGTCCAGGCGCAGCGTGGCATTTTCTCGACACCACAGGGGATGCGCAGGGGGGGTTCCTGAGCCGGCCGCTATGCAGACGGTCGTCCAGGCACAGCAGGCGTGGCACTTTCTCGACGCCATAGGGGGTGTGCAGGCGGCGGTCCCTGAGCTCGGCCGCTATGCACGACGGTCGTCCAGGGACAGCAGGCGTGGCATTTTCTCTGACACCATAAGGGGTGTGTGCAGGGGGTGGTCCCTGAGCTCGCCGCTATGCACGACGGTCGTCCAGGAAGAGCAGGCGGGCACTTTCTCGACACCATAGGGGTGCGCAGGGGTGGTCCCTGAGCTCGCAGCTAGGACACGGTCGTCCAAAACAGCAGGCGTGGCACTTTCCGCGACACCACAGGGGTGCGCAGGGGGTGGTCCTGAGCTCGTCATATGCACGACGGTCGTCCAGGCAAAGCAGGCGTGGCACTTCCTCGACACCAGAGGGGTGCGCAGGGGGTGGTCCCTGAGCTCGCCGCTATGCACGACGGTCGTCCAGGCACAGCAGGCGTGGCACTTTCTCGACACCACAGGGGGTGCGCAGGGGGTGGTCCCTGAGCGCGGCCGCTATGCACGACGGTCGTCCAGGCCGCCGCCGCCGCCGCCGCCGTCGTCGTCGTCGTCGTCGTCGTCGTCGCCGTCGCCGTCGTCGATGATTGTTGGAGTGACTCATCTCGTTGGTTTGGCTGGTCTGCTTGATTGGCCTGGCTGGCTGGTCTGATTACTTTGGCTGGTTGTGGCTGGAATGACTGATCTGACTGGTCTGGTCAGTCTGGCTGGTCTGGCTCAAAAAGGCGAAGCGGGATGTGACATGGTTTGTGAACACACGTGACATAAAATAAGTATGTGGGGTTCCTCGGTAGCGTAATTGTGTGTTTTTTCCAAGATCCTCCTGTACAGGGTCCGGCTTGCAGAAGGAACACTTACTTTTCAAAAGGGGCTCGGTCGTCCCTTCGGTTTGCATGCGTTCAGCTACCTTATTGGCGGCGAGCCCCCCTGGTGTTCCTTCGGACGTCGTAGACTTACTTGGAAGAAAAGGGGCTTCGTTCCTTATTCATCGTTCCTTAGGTCAGGCCGAAAACTGTAGGAGGACATGCCCGACCTAGGCCTGGCCAGGGGCCGTGTGCTTGTGCAGACCTCGTCGCCCCTGGTCGCGGGGCGGGCCTTTGCCTCCGCGCGCGCGCCTCCGCGCGCGCGCGGAGGTGGAAGAACGGGAGGGAGGAGGAGGAGGAGGAGGAGGAAAAGGAGGGTGGGATAGGGGGTGGGGGGGAGGAGGGTGAGGATAGGGGGAGGAGGGAGGGAGGAGGGCGGGGGGGGAGAGGAGGGTGGGATAAGGGGTGAGGGGGAGGAGGAGGACGGAGGGGAGGAGGAGGGAGGAGGAGGAGTATACATATATATATATATATAAGCTGATTAGTCCTAACAGTAGTAGTATTTGTTTGAATTGGAAGAGTGAGGAGCATTTAGGATGCGAGCAATATGAAGAGTACGAATGTTATTTATACTAAGAACAAGAAACATATGACCAATACAAATGAGACATAATAGTACGAATGGTACGAATAAGACACACACACACACACTTTAAGACCAATAATAAGAACAGTCATACGACACATGAAACTAATACTGATAATATCAATACGCATACGGTGAATAAACAGCACACGAGTAATAATAGTAGTAAGGAAAATAACATCAGTAACAATCATCTCGTTACCAGTAAGCATAGCACTAATACGGCTAATAGTAGTGCCATTGTAGTAATCAAGCTAAGAGTATTATTAATGATAGCACGAAGAAACATAGTACGAGCACGAATGACACATACTACCATTCTTAAGCATGGCGGTAATAGTGTTTGTTCATAATCAACATGCACATACGAATTCCACTCATACGGATTCAAATCGTAACAATATTGAAATTACCACCAGCAGTAATCATCTTATTAGTATAGTTACAGGGAGTCCGCTACTACTACTACTACTACTACTACTACTACTACTGTCACTACTACTTTTACGACTACTACTACGAATAATAATAGTTGTAGATGAATCCGAAGACGACCGCCCATATTACTACTACTACTACTACTACTACTTCTACTTCTACTTCTACTACTACTACTACTACTACTACTACTACTACTACTACTACTACTACTACTACTACTACTACTACTACTACTACTACTACTACTACTACTACTACTACTACTACTACTACTACTAGACTACTACTACTACTACTACTACTACTACTACTACTACTACTACTACTACTACTACTACTACTACTACGACGACGACGACGACGACGACGACGACGACGACCACGACGACGACGACGACGACTACTACTACTACTCAGCTTAAGCAGACAGAGAAAACGAATCATAAAACACATGTGCAGGAAGACACCACTAGTAACAATACTGTGGAACATAATCCGCTAAGTGACAATATTATTAACATTCAAAATACGTCTAATGCTTGTCATCGCCGTACGACTAGACAGAACTATATCACAACAACTATTGTTACTACTACTAGTAACAGTGAGGTGGTTATTGAAAGCAGAACAAATAAGGATGTTAATAATAACGCTAACACTAGCAGTGCAGTTCATATAATAATTCGAACCGTGATAGTGATACTGAAACTGGTAGTAATATCAATATTCGTACTGATGGCAGCAATCTTACTCGTAATGCTGCTAATATTAATTGTGCTTACAACAGTAGTAATACTAACATTAGACTACGGAAACTAATACTAATACTACTGCTTCTAGTACTACTACTACTACTACTACTACTACCACTACCACTACCACTACCACTACCACTACTACGGCTACTACTACTACCACTACTACGGCTACAACAACTACTTTCAATACTACGACTGCCACTATTATTATTATTATTACTACTACTACTACTGGTACTACAACTACTACGCATACTAATACTATTATTATTATTATTGTTATTATATTATTATTATTATTATCATTGCTATTATTGCTAGTAGTATTAATAGTAAACCAATGAAGCGCCTAGTACTTCTAATAATAATTTGAACAGCATGCATCATATTACTATTAGTAGTACTACTAGTATTGATAGTAATATTATCAATCGTAGAACGAATACGACAAATAATAATACTACTACGAACGAGAAGCAAACTAACAACATAAGAAGACGAGGAGGAGGGCGAGGGCGAGGGGGTCGGGGAGGGGGAGGATGATGATGATGATGATGATGATGATGATGATGATGATGAGGAGGAGGAGGAGGAGGAGGAGGAGGAGGAGGAGGAGGAGGAGGAGGAGTGATGTGACAGAACAACCCTGGTCAGGTATGGGGAAAACATCGGGCCTGAATCATCGATCCTCCTCGTCGCGGGGGGACCCTGACGGGCGGGTCGGCGCTGGCATCGTGTTTCTGGGAGCACGTTCCCCGATCCGTGGATCTGGCGCCAACGCGCCGGATCCACGGATGCCTAATCCATGTTAGCGTATGCCCGACAGGGGGGTGAGGATTCTCGCCTCGGCATGCTTCCCCGCAGCTGCGCCTCGTCGAGAGCCTTCCAGGGGCGTCGGATCGTCCCGAACGGCCGCCGGGAACCCGAAGCATGACCCTGAAGCTGCCAGACGTCGAAGAGGGGGGTGAGGACTCGGGGCGTGCGAATACCATCGGCAACACCCCAACATACTTATACTATATGTGCGTCGCCCCCCCAGGGGCGACGCGCGCACCGAGAAATCTTGTAGTATATGCGTCGTGGCGGGCGCTTTCTGGCCACACCGCTCGGGAAACGATATACTACAAGATGGGTATACTATATGTTCGGGTCGGACGCGCGCCTCCAAGGAGGACATATAGTACTAGTATGTCCATGTGCGTCCCATACCATGGCCGAGGCCATGAAATCTCTTCCTCTTCCTTCGGTGCGTCCCCTGCCCCCCCCCCCCTCCCACCAGTCCTCGCGCACGCCTCGGGCCACGCGGCGCGAACGCCCCTCCTCCTGGCCGACCTCTCTCGTTCGGGTGCAACTTCGGTTGAGCTCCGCATCATCGCGGGTATATTCGTGGCCGCAAACAGGCAGGATTTGGCACAGTCCCGCTGAACTTGGCCTACACTCCCGTGTAATCCAGCGTCATCCCCAGCTTATTCCCGGCCTGATCCGGCTCAGTGCCCCCCTGATGAGGTCGAATGGCCATTGAGTCGGCGATCGGCCTTCGATCCATACCCCTGCTGCTGCCCCTTCTCTGGGCTCCAAATGCAGCAGGGTACGGATAAGAAGCGTGGCCTCGGAGGTGGAGGGTTTCTCCGAAGCTCGTAGGCGACCCGTCCTCCTCTCTCCCCTCCTCCCTCCTCCTCCTCCTCCCCTCCTCCTCCTCCTCCTCCTCCTCCTCCTCCTCCTCCTCCTCTCCTCCTCCTCCTCCTCCTCCTCCTCCCCCTCCTCCACCCCCTTCCTCCTCCTTCCTCGTCCTCACCCCTCGCCCTCCTCCTCCTCCTCCTGCTCCTGCTCCTCCTCCTCCTCCTCCCCTCGTCCTCCTCCTCCTCCTCTCCTCCTCCTCCTCCTCCTCCTCCTCCTCCTCCTCCTCCTCCTCCTCCTCCTCCTCCCCCTCCTCGCCCTCCCCTCGCGTCGCCTACGGCCCCGGGGGAAACTGTCCACTCGGAGGCCATCATTCTATCCACATCCCCGCTCTGGCCCCTTGTGGGTGTCAGGGCGTCAGCAAAGACATGGCTCAGATGCCGATCGCCTCTGGAGCGCTCCCACGAAGGTGTCCAGGAGCTGCCTCTCCTACTCTGGGCGCGCCCGGCGGCGGGAGGAGGAGGAGGAGGAGGAGGAGGAGGAGGAGGAGGAGGAGGAGGAGGAGTAGGAGGAGGAGGAGGAGGAGGGAGGAGGAGAGAGGAGGAGGAGGAGGAGGAGGAGGAGGAGGGCGTCGCGCAGCGAGGGTCTCTAGCGTCGCGCCTCGGCGCACCTGCGCTTGAAGCCAGCTGCAATGTCGCCCCGCCAGCTTGCAGCCCTGCTCGCCGCGCTGCCCGTGCCCGCGCGGGCCCTCTTCGGCCTACTCTCGGGCGGAGAGCCAGGCGACGCATCCATGCTGCAGGCAGCGGCGGAGTTGGAGGCAGGCAGCAAGCCGACGGTCTCGGTCTCGGCCTCGACCCTCTCGACGGAGGAGTCATGGGAGGAGAAGGTGCTGATACCGCTGCCCTTCCTCGTCTCCGCCTTCTTGGGCCTCCTCCTGGGAGGCCCTCGTCGCCACGGCCGCATTCGCTTCGAAGCCCTGGTCAGAACCCACCCGTGGTGAGGTCCAGGGAATAGTGGTATCGGTACCTTTGGTTTCTCCAGAGGAGTGGGAGGAGGTCTTGGACGCCACCTACGAGAAGAAGTTCTCGATCGAGGTGAACATGACTGCCGCCCGCGAGGGCATGCCACTCGGAGCGGAGCTGGGGTGCCGATCGGACCACGATCCGCTTGTCGTTCTGAAGATGCGCGATGTCGGCCTGGTGCGGGAGTGGAACTGGGCGCACCCAGACACGGCCGTTCAGGTCGGCGATGAGTTCGTCAAGGTAGGCGACATGAAATGGAATCGCCAGAACGATATTTTCATGGATTACCTCAAGGAGAAGCTCAGGTCTGCGAGGGAGCAGGGAACGACGAACCCCTTGCAGCTTGGCTTCAGGCGCCCCTGGAAGTCGGCGCCGTCGTCAGAGGGCGCGACGCGAGAGGCCACCGCTGACGTTCCGCCCCAGAGCCTTCTTCGAGCTGATGCGCAGATTGCTACGACTTCAGAAGAAGAAGGAGAAGAAGAAGGGGATGGGGCGGACACGACTTCGGAAGAAGAGGAGCTCCTGGATGGCATGCAGCTCTTCGGCTTCTTGACCCAGGCTCCAGCACCATCGCAGCCGGCTCCGTGACTCTGAGCAGGATTCCTCCTTCCCCCCTCCCCGTCCCCCGTCCTCCTCCTCGCCGCTTCTGGGCACCCCGCCTTTGTCCGGGCAGCCCGCCCGACGACCCCCCTTCGCCCGCGCAGGCCCGGTGCCGCCGCCGCCCGCGCGACCTCAGCACTGCCGTGCCGTCCGCCCGGGCTCCCCTGCAGAGGAGCTGGCCTGGCCGTGCCGGGCATCGGCGGGGCGGCCGGTGGGCCGGACCCCGAGAGCCTGGCGTCGCGAAGGGAGGCCCCCAGGAGGCCTCAAGAGAGCTTCAGGAGGCTTCCTCTCTTCTTCCTCCTCCTCCTCCTCCTCCTCCTCCTCCTCCTCCTCCTCCGTTATTTTCCACTTCCCAGTGCTCACCCGAGGGGTTCCACAACGGCTTGGGGAACACATAGATGAATGGCTTGGCCAGAATTCGCTGGGGACGGCGATCACCCTCCCCAGCTCCCCTCGCGTCGTAACGAAAATCACGACGGGAGGTCTTGCGCTGCGTTCGGCCTCCAGGGGGACCTCACTGGGCCTCGGGGTCGTCAACAAACGCGACTCAGGATGAAAGACCGGTCCCTGGGAAAGGGTCCAGACTTCTGGGGGTCACGTCGGGGGTCTGGCCCAACGGCCGTTTTCGCCCGGTTTCGCGCCCCTGGGACCCTCACAGATCGATCCGGCTTGAATAACGCCGCACAGAGGTGGGGTCTGGGGCTCCAGTGGTGCTTTTCGTGCGATGCGGCAGCTTTTTCGCAACCCGGACCTCAGGAGAGACACCATCCTGGCGGGGCGGCCCCCTGTCTCGAGCCGGCAGTCTGGCCGTCCCGAGCAGCGGCGGGGTGGGTGGTGGGATCGGGGCACCGTCCTGGGGGGCCAGGCCCCCTCTCGGCTCGGCGGCCTCGGTCCCAGCGAGGGGCCCCACGGTGGGATGGGGCGGCCGACGTCCACTTCGATCGATCGATCCGATTCGACACTGAGCCCGGTCGGCCCGATCCGATTCGATTCCGATTTTCCTTGGATCCGAGGCGGCCCGACGCCTGTGGGGCGCTGTCGTGCGTCCTGGCGCGGCGGATCCGGTTCGATTCTGGCCCCTGTGCCGTCGCGGCCCGACCCGACTTGCGTTCCGATGCGAGCCGATTTCCCGCTTCGCTGCGGGCTGATCCCGGGTGGGTGGGGGACTGGTCGCGCGAAGTCGGCGCCACGCCACGCGCAGGCCCGCGCACGCTCGGCTACGCTCGGTGGCGGGCGCTCTCTGGCCATCTGTGCGCCGGCCACGCGAGAGGGCTACGCGCACTCTCTCGATTACGCCGGGTGGCGGGCGCTTTCTGGCCACGCCGCTCTGGTCGCGATTCGGCGGCGAGCCCAGGGGGGGGGAGTTAGAAGGGGCGGGCCTTCTCCGAAGGCTCGGAAAAGCCCCCCAGCCTTCTGAGAGGTTCTCTGAGCTCTCCCCCCGAGGGCACCGGAAACCTGTCGGGGAGCCGCAAGGCTCCCGAGGAGCCCCGCCGCCTTCTGCGGAGGCCCTCCCCTGCTCACTTCCCCCCCTCGCTCGCCGCCGAGCGATCTGCTACATTTTTGTTTTTTGATGTTTTTTTTGTTGTGTTTTTTTATGTGTGTGTGTGTGTGTGTGCGGCTCCGGCAGAGCAAGGGCTCCCTCGAGGGCGCGAAGTTATTCGCGCTTCGCGCTTCGCGGTCCTCGTTCCTTCTCCCCCTCCTCCTCGTCCTCCTATTCTCCCTTTGGGAGGGCGGCGCGAGAGCGCGAAGTTATTCGCGCTTCGCGCTTCGCGCAGCGCGAAGCGCGAAGTTGGGAGCCCTAACAGAGAGAGGGGCGCAGTGCCCGTGCGCCCCTCGGCGCCCCAGCGCAGGGCGGGAGGCCCGAGGGGCGGAGCACGGAGCGCGCGGGGGCACGCAGCGGGGGAGGGCTCGGCACGGAGGGGCGGCAGCACGGAGGGCACGGCACGTCCTTCTCCTCCTCCTCCTCCTCCTCCTCCTCCTCCTCCTCCTCCTCCTCCTCCTCCTCCTCCTCCCCCTCCTCCTCCTCCTCCTCCTCCTCCTCCTCCTCCTCCTCCTCCTCCTCCTCCTCCTCCTCCCCCTCCTCCTCCTTCCTCCTCCTCCTCCTCCTCCTCCTCCTCCTCCTCCTCCTCCTCGTCCTCGTCCTCCTCGTCCTCCTCCTCCTCCGCCTCCTCCTCCTCCTCCTCCATTTCAGCGAACCCTTTCAGTGAGGGCCCTGGGGCGCGCCGCAGCTGGGCGCGCCGTAGCCCTTCAGTCGGACATCCTCAGGTGGGCGCCGAACTGGTCCTCCACGTCCTCCTTTGCGACGGACGCCCCTCCTTTGCTCGCGAGCTGAGGGGCGTCCGACCTTCTCTAGCCGCATGGCAGCTCGGCCGAGCTGGCGGCCCCCGTATGTGACACGGGGGGCGGGCCGCACCCCCCTTTGGCCCGAGGGCTGGGGGCGGCCTCGCCGCGGCGCACGGTGCGCCGCATCCTCCTTCTGGCGTGGTCGGTGATGGTCGGTGCTCTGCCGCGCAGCTGAGGACCCTGCTCCTGTCCTCCTTTCTGCGGTCATTCGTGCTGGGAACCGCTTCTGAGGACCCTGCTCCTGTCCTCCTTTTCGGCGTCCTCCAAGCGTACTCGTTCAGCCGCGCTGTTGAGGACCCTGCTCCTGTCCTCCTTTCAGCTGGCTCCGTCGAGGTTTCATCATGCCGCGCTGCTGAGGACCCTGCTCCTGTCCTCCTTTCAGCGGGCGGATCATGTCGTGGTGATGGTCGTTGCTGGCGGGGTGGTGGTACTGGAGGGGGTGGTCGGTGCTCTGCCGCGCAGCTGAGGACCCTGCTCCTGTCCTCCTTTCTGCGGGCATTCGTGCTGGGGGCCGCTTCTGAGGACCCTGCTCCTGTCCTCGTTTTCGGCATCTTCCAAGCGTGCTCGTCCAGCCGCGCTGTTGAGGACCCTGCTCTTGTCCTCCTTTCAGCTGGCTCCGTCGTGGTTTCATCGTGCCGCGCAGCTGAGGACCCTGCTCCCGTCCTCCTTTCAGCGGGCGGATCGTGTCGAGGTGGTGGTCGTAGTTGGCGGGGTGGTGGTGGTGGGGTGGGTGGTCGGTTGGGGGCGAACCCCAGACCTTGTGGTTGCTTGTCATGCGTGCCTGTAGGTGGGTCGTTGGGAGGTCGGCTTGTTGCTGGTGTTGTTGTGTGGGTTGTGGGCGCACTTATGAGGCCTCCATGCGCCGACTTCAAGTGGGGTTCGTGGCGGCCCCACCTCGTCCCGCTATGGCTAGGGGTCGCAGTGCCCTCGGTGGGGGCGAACCCCAGGCCTAGTGCTTGCTTCTGTTGTCGGTGAGGGATGTCTCGGCTGCCCTCCGCTTCGCCCCTTGGGCGCTCGGGTAAGCTCCGTCTCCGCCATGGGGATGGTGGGGGTGGCGAGCTAGGGCAGACCACGGGGGCGCGGGTAGTGGCCGTCCTACCCCCCCCCTGCCCCTCACCATCCCCCCAAGTAGGCGCGGGCAGTACTCGTCCTGCCCCCCCCACCCTTCGAGCCCGACTCGAAGTTTGATCCTTGCCTCACCAGGGCAGCGTGGACTTGTAGAGTGGTGTGGTGGGGCGGTCTTTGTGTTGCTGGTGGTGGTTGGTCGGTGGTGCTTGGCGGTCGTTGAGGTCGTCTGCCGTCATTTTTGCTGGAAACCGCTGGACTTGTGCGCGTGCGATGGCTGCCTTCTTCAATACTACAAAACGTGGCGACTTGTGCCTGGGGTGTTCCCTCGCATCCGGGTGTTCCCTCGCATTCGGGGCTTCCCCAGGACTTGCGTCCTAACGCCTCCTGCAAAACTTGGCGACGCTGCCTGAGGTGTTCCCACGCACTCGGGGCTTCCTCAGGACTTGCATCCTGACGCCGTTGAGCTTGTAGTCGGAGACGCTCTTCGTCGAGATCGGCCACGGAGAGAGGTGACGCTTCGTCGTCTCGTTCGATGTAGTACGCGTCGATGGTGCTCAGATTCTGTCTGGTTGGCGCAGCGGTTGCGGTTCTGAGACCCCATCTAGCAACGATGTTGCAGTCGAGCAGGTCGGCGATAGCGAAATCGATCTCCTCTGCGTTTGCTGTGGTCATTTTGTTGCGGAGGTCGTCGCGGGTGCAGTTGTCGGGGATCTGCGCGGCGCCGAGGTCGTAGTGCTGGGTGGGGGTCTCGTTAACCGTCGTCTGCTTGGCGATGTGCTGGTATTCGGGAGTCTGCCTGAAGGTCGACTCGGCCGCGATGGCGGCGACGAAGGGGACGCGGGCGGTGGTCGCCACGAAGAGAATCCGCATGACCTCTCTGGTGATGTTGTTGGCAGCGAAGATCTCGTCGGCGATAGACTCAGACGCTTCTGGCAGCCCCCAGGGGGCCGCAGGGGCGCGCCGCCTGCTGACTCTGTTGCCAAGAACATCGCAGGCGTCGTGTCGGTGCCAGGTCCGTCGTGGGAACTCTGCGTAGATGGCAGCGATCTCGCCGTGAATGATCTTACGTTGCACTCGCCGAAGTTCTGGTATTGGTGCTGAAGACTGGCCATCGCTTTGGATTGCGATCATGCTGTAGTCCAGGCCGCGGATGCACGTGATCCTTCTGTTGGCCATGATCTGCTGGAGGTCAGCGGCCTGTCGGGGGCGGTCGGTAATGAAGACAACCCCTTGGCGCTCCGCTGGTCCAGGAGGCGAGCTCGCGGGTGGCCTGCCTGGCGAGGACTCGAGTCTGGCGAATGCCTTCGGCGCAACGGGCGACGTTTCCAGGAGCGGCAGCGGCGTGACCTCACGCGGGTGGGCTGGCTTGTCGCTGAAGGTCGGGTGGCGTCCTAGCTTCTTGTTGGTATTCGTGGCCTCTGCGATGGCGTTGAAGTTCGCTGCGATCTGCTGCTCGGACAGAGGCTCCGACGTCTGGAGGTGCCAGGCGTGCCAGGATTTGCGGCAGCGGTGAGCCACCGAGAGGTGCTTGATGAGCCTCGGGAGCGTGTGGTGCTCGGTCTGGCAGCACCGGCATGCGGTGCCAGTAGCCCAGAAGCGCGGGTCCGCGTGGTCGGGATGATCCCTGCCCATATGGACGGCCATGCCTTGCCTGGTGGCGACGCGGCCGCAGGCGTAGCATACGTACTTCTGATTGTTGGCGTCGTCGCGGTGGTCGAACTCGTCTGTTGGAGCCGCTGCTGGGGTCATCCGGATGTCCTTCTGGATCTTGGCATTCTGAGCCTGGTCGCGCGTGTGGTGTATGTGGGCCTTCACCGCTGCCTTGACCGCGTTGGTGAAGAGCTTCGGCTTCTGTCGGGCCCAGTTGATGACGTCGCGGTCGTGCTGGGTTTGGCTGGGCCGCCTTTCTCGTGGAAG